GGATTAGGCTTGTAACCCTCTGTGACAGGAATCATCTAAAAGAGACAAAACACGAAACAAGTGATACACGTTGATGTTAGCAACCTGTATTCCTTTCCGATTTTGCTGAGAATATACTTCTTGTTACAAAGTGACATCTACTGGGCTTTCTGCGTAATTGCAATCAAGCTGTACAGTCATGTTAAGAGTAGTAACGATGAGTTTATTCTCAAATATGGTATTAAGATTTACAGACTTTTGTTTTTTTTTCATTTCTAAGTCAAATCCTTGTTTTCTTCTAGTACCTTAATGCTCTCTTTCCCATGTCTGTAATATACAGTGCAAGATTGATTAACCAAAACTATAATGCTACATGTTAAAAATGAATATATACTGTAGTATGTTTGCTCTGCAGTTGATTGATCATTAAAACATGCTTGAGAAAATATAGTATGAATTGTTGTAACAGTAAATTATTGAACTGAACCCAAATTTATTAGCTTTATGCTTTCTAAAATTGTATTTTAATCGTTATTATGATTTAAAATCAAGTTTATTCAAATTCAGTGATAAACATATGAAGCATATAATTTGGAAAAACACAGAGAAAAAAATATTATGTCCAAAGAAATGTTTGCCTTTCATTGGAAAGACAAGATATTGACAATACGGAAATAATTCTCTTTTGCTGCTTATTATGTATATTTGCAGAGTTGACAGTTAGCTGTAGAGATGAAACTGGGTCACAGTGAGATTTACTAACACAGCTCTGCTGCTCTAGATCACTGTGGGCCTCAGAGCACAGTAATACACAGCACCGTCTGCAGCTCCAGGCTCTGAGATCTTGAACCAGACTCTCTTACTGTCTTTATCCACCCGTGTCTCATAACCATCTTTTCTGTTGCTTCCACTGTAAGTGTCTGTCTGGATGAGGTATTCAGGGCTTCTGTTGGGACTCTGTCGATACCAGAAGAGGTACTGGGTTCCTGTGCTGGTAGTGTTGTAATTACAAATCAGCGTCACTTCTTGTCCTTCTTCAGCCTGGACTTCGCTGCTTATTGGTGTGATTGAATCTCCCAAGCAAATATCTGAAAAGCAAGAGTCATATTCTTATTCTTATTCTTATTCTTCTTATTCTGCAGACAAAGCTAAAAACTGAAGCACTTACCAAACAGCAGCACTGATAATGTATATTTAATTAGCATTTTTACTGTGAAGGAACTTTGAGATGCCATGCTGATGTGAATTCAGTGACGCTCAGACTGCTAAAGAAACTCAGATGCAGAGCCCCTTGTTGTGGTGATGAGCATGTGAGCACAGAGGGGTGGAGAAATCTACACTAACACCTCTACAACGTACTCTACAACATGGGAGCTGTAAAATTATTTCTTCACAGACATTTCTCCCGGAATCTTTTCTAATAAATCTTTTTTTTTATGTTCCATGTACTTAAACAACGCACATGAATCAAATAGTAGCAAATCAGACGCATTGATAACTTGGCTGCTCTTTTTTAAATGATAGAAACCGAATCAGCGATAAAAATTGCATTGAAGCCTTTTAAAAGAGTTCTTACGGGTGATCTTTTAAGACTTGTAGTGTACATACACCAGTCTATAAATAACGTCAAACAAAATGTCTTTATAAATGTACTTTTCAAAACACGACGTTCAGAATGAAAGAGTGCACCGCAACAGATAGATTTTGATTCCACATAATCACCCGCTTCTCGGTTGTTGACAATCAGAGAACAAGAAAAACACCTTCCTCCATGCAAAGACCGGATGAAGGTGAAATCAGATATTCACAGCACTCAGCCTGGAAATCATGAGGGCAGGTAAATAGTGACTGAGAATTTCATTTACACGATATTTTAATTGTTTTCTTTTTTTACAAATATTCATTTGTGAAATTTTAATTGATCACTTTTCCCCCCAGCATACCACTCTGTAAAACTTGGAAATTAACCTTTATTAGAACTACGACAGCCCTTTTTTCAGTTTTAAGAATTTTAGCTCCACCTGCTGGTTGATAATTGTGATTGTGTAAAGGTGAGAACTTCAGAAAGTCACTATGTGAGACAGGGCTGGACACGCGTCTTTGAAGATTCTCTAGTTGTCTTTAAAGGTGTGGCACCAGCCCACCAAGACTAAGAGAAGTGTTCCTTGGCATTTAGATTTTTCGAAGATGTTTCTCTGAGTTACAAAACAAATATGAAACCTCTTTGAAAGCCATGAAACAGAAATACAGATGTTTTGAATCTTTGATTTTCTAGAAGTGTGCAAAATACTATTTGAGCTGAAATTAAATACTCCAAATTAGTACGAGGTCAGTC